GTGGGGTTCGAAAGTTTGGGCACCCCAGCTAAAAATTTGTATTAATGTGCATAAAGAAGCCAAGGAAAGATGGAAAAAATCTCCAAAAGGCATCAAATTACAGATTAGACATTCTTGTAATATGTCAACAAAAGTTAGATTTTATTTCCATCATTTACACATTCAAAATAACAGAAAACAAAAAAAAAATGGCGTCTGCAAAAGTTTGGGCACCCTGCAGAATTTATAGCATGCACTGCCCCCTTTGCAAAGCTGAGACCTGCCAGTGTCATGGATTGTTCTCAATCATCGTCTGGGAAGACCAGGTGATGTCAATCTCAAAGGTTTTAAATGCCCAGACTCATCTGACCTTGCCCCAACAATCAGCACCATGGGTTCTTCTAAGCAGTTGTCTAGAAAACTGAAACTGAAAATAGTTGACGCTCACAAAGCTGGAGAAGGCTATAAGAAGATAGCAAAGCGTTTTCAGATGTCAATATCCTCTGTTCGGAATGTAATTTTAAGAAATGGCAGTCATCAGGAACAGTGGAAGTTAAAGCAAGATCTGGAAGACCAAGAAAAATATCAGACAGAACAGCTCGCAGGATTGTGAGAAAAGCAATTCAAAACCCACGTTTGACTGCACGATCCCTCCAGAAAGATCTGGCAGACACTGGAGTTGTGGTACACTATTCCACTATAAAGAGATACTTGTACAAATATGGTCTTCATGGAAGAGTCATCAGAAGAAAACCTCTTCTACGCCCTCACCACAAAAATCATCGTTTGAACTTTGCAAATGAACATATAGACAAGCCTGATGCATTTTGGAAACAAGTTCTGTGGACCGATGAGGTTAAAATTGAACTTTTTGGCCGGAATAAGCAAAGGTACGTTTGGAGAAGAAGGGGCACAGAATTTAATGAAAAGAACCTCTGTCCAACTGTTAAGCATGGGGTTGGATCAATCATGCTTTGGGGTTGTGTTGCAGCCAGTGGCACAGGGAACATCTCACGAGTAGTAGAAGGAAAAATGGATTCAATAAAATTTCAGCAAATTTTGGATGGTAACTTGATGCCATCTGTGAAAAAGCTGAAGTTAAAGAGAGGATGGCTTCTACAAATGGATAATGATCCTAAACACACCTCAAAATCCACGGGGGATTACATCAAGAGGCGTAAACTGAAGGTTTTGCCATGGCCTTCACAATCTCCTGACCTCAACATAATTGAAAATCTATGGATAGACCTTAAAAGAGCAGTGCGTGACAGACAGCCCAGAAATCTCAAAGAACTGGAAGACTTTTGTAAGGAAGAATGGGCAAAGATACCTCAAACAAGAATTGAAAGACTCTTGGCTGGCTACAAAAAGCGTTTACAAGCTGTGATACTTGCCAAAGGGGGCAGTACAAGATATTAACTCTGCAGGGTGCCCAAACTTTTGTAGACTCCATTTTTTTTTTTCTGTTATTTTGAAAGTGTAAATGATGGAAATAAAATCTAACTTTTGTTGACATATTATAAGAATGTCTAATCTGTAATTTGATGCCTTTTGGAGATTTTTCCATCTTTCCTTGGCTTTTTTATGCACATTAATACAAATTTTTAGCTGGGGTGCCCAAACTTTCGATCCCCACTGTATATATATATATATATATATATATATATATATATATATATATGTATAGTATATGTAGTCCAATTTTGCATAAACTATACAGAAATTTTTATTCTTATTTTTATCTACTCTTCTTTGTTCTATATTGGATAACATGTCCTAAAGTTCTAAGTATTTAAGGTAGAATAGACAATTATTTTGATTTTTATTTTGACTTGATTTTTAAATGATTTCAGTCTGGTTAATACAATTACAATGTTTAAATGATTAAGTGAAATAAGCGGGGTCCATCTTATCATAGAAATAGCTATGACCCAGTTTTGACCCCCAATATATCAGGCCTAGCTTATATTTCCCATGTGCTCACCCTGACCTGAACCCAAAGAGCTGATTTCTGGGTGATTAAGCAGAGCTCCTATTCATATCCTTTGAACCATGCCATAAAAGTCAAAATGAAATAGCAACAACTTCAAATCTAATACATAAGAAAAAATCTTAGGTCTCCAGCTTTCTCCCAAAGCCTCAACTGGCCGTATTTTGGGCAGATGTTAATTGTATAAGTAAATATTTATTGTTGAAGAATTGTGGAAACTCCCAAGTCTTCAAAGGCTAACTAAAGTCGAAAAGCTCCAAACATTGCCTGTGATGTCTGGATCCCAGATGGCTTTCTGACGCCTGGCTTTCCCACCAAACACAAAGTCAAGCACCATTGCTAATGGGTTTTGTTTGCTCGGCACACTTCTATTGTATCTAGATGGGTATAGATCATGGGGGAATAGCGTGAGAAAGTGAAGGGAGGAGAGATATTTTAGCTTATTAGCCTAATAAGACATAGTGGGGCAGAAAGGCTCAACAGACGAATAGATATAAGGACAGAAGAGGTGGCAGACTGGAAGCTTGGTGTGGTATTGATATGACAAACATGAGATATTTTATCCCTCAGCAGTACACAGACAGGCTGGCTTGCCGCAGAAGATCATGCTCTGGGCTGTCATACAAAACCTTGCAATCTGCTGTGACTTAACAATCAAACTTTGATACACTTTTCATTATTGTTTATGTGTCATATCTTAACCCACCCTTGCTACCCCATTAAATAATAGCAATGGCTGCCAATTCTAAAACAATCAGTACAACAATTTTCTGGTGGTTGTTCCTTTTAAAACTACCTGCACCTAATTCAGATAACTATTTGCACAAGTGTTGATAACATTACAGACATCTGCGACAAATTCAGTCAGTGCTTACTGTAGCCACGTCAAGAACTCATCATTATGGCAGCCACAGACTGAAAATGAAGATTAGGAGAGGCATACTCGGCATCCCGATTGATTAACTTTATTAAGCAAGTAAGGTGTATAGAGAAAACAGCTTATGTGTTTTGGCAAAAAGCCTTGTGTTTTGGCAAGAAGCCTTAGTTTTGGCAAGAAGCCTTAGTGGCCAATGGCTATGACTAAGGCTTATTGCCAAAATGCATAAACTACTTTATCTGTACATCTTACTTGCTTAATAAGGTTAATCAATCGGGAAAACGAGTATTCGGCTCCTAATATTCATTTTTAAGTTGTGCTTGTGTTGGGAGGACACACAGAGCCAGAGCACCACCAGTCCACCTCTGTAGGGAATATATCTGAGCGTAACACCTTTCTTTTATAGCAGCCACAGACTCTTAAAGAATTACCGCCAGTTTGTAGATAATTAAGACCAGCTTCTAGTTAGCATACAGATGTATATCAGTGCTCAGAGTGAGGCATGTCCTTGCTGGGAAGCTAATATAGAGCTCACATGGAGCCCTATCAAAGGGCTCTATCCATAGCCCCATTTAGCTGTTCCCCTGGGTGAAATCTAAATGTAAACAAAGAGGGATCATGGTGATGCCATTACCTAAATATGGCAATACCCATATTTCATCAATCATGACAGGCTAACAGGGTGGTAGACCTGATGGGGAATTAGTTCCCACGGGCAGTGCCTGTTTGCTGGCAGAACCTGCTAGATCGGTTCCCCATCAGGTCTGCCATACTTTTAATTGACATGATTGACAGCAGATGGCAGTGGATCTGCCATGTTCTATGTACTGTCAAACAACAGCAAGACAGCCATGATGGAGAGCTAGTCTCTTAGTTCCCCATCAGATTCCACCCAACTCACTACGAAACTCCTTGGCCACATACCTGTCAGTGTGATGGGTGCAGTGGTTGAGGAAGGAGGGAGTGCACTGAAGAAGGAGTGTCCAATATGGACACTCACACCTCACTGCTGGGCAGCGACTGATTCATGTACTTGAAATCAAAGAAGGAGAACTGTGCTCCTTTTAGTGTTTGACTTTGATAAAAATAATAGATGGGTGCTTGTAGTGACTGTAGCAGATGGTGCCATGTAAATCACCATAAAACTATGAGGCATCACCAGTACTTTGTTGCAAATATACACACTGATTTATTAGCGCAAAGTCACATTGGTCAAATAAGCCAATGTTTCGGGGCTGCCTTGAGGAAGGGACCCTGCGTGGCCCCAAAATGTTGGTTTATTTGACTAATGTGACATTGCACTAATAAATGAGTGTTTATGTTTGCAACAAAGTGCTGTTAATGTCTCATCATTTTACTGAGTTTCATGTACCTGTCTCTGACAGATACATGAATTGGGACAAACAGTCAAAATTTTGGTGCGACATCGTGAAGGAATTCCAAAGGATGTCTATGGATTCCCACCTTATAGTTTCCAAAAGCAGAAATTCTGTAGCATTAAACATTGGCAATTGCAATCATTTTATGGTAAACTGCACTGCAATATTAATTATGAAGTCTATATTTTCAGTTAAAAAAACACTGAAATTAATTTTAATGGCCCTTCCAACACAATATAATAGCCACATTTTTGGTAAAAGATAAGGTTGCATCAAGTAAGTTCTGTAGATACCAAACAAAATTGCACATGCTCGTGAAACAGGGAACGGTACCTAATATTGTCCATAGGTGATGCTTTAAAAGCATCAACAGCTCATCAGTTCAGACGGAACAGGGAATGACGGCTCTGGAATTATTGTTCTCATTTTGGTGGGGTGTGTAGCAATACTATATGTGGAAAAATGTTCATAAAAAATACCAATAAAGTGTCACCGCTCAGCTAGTCTACCTATAAATAGGGAGCTGGCTAGTACTGTATGTGTTTTCACCAGCATAAAAATTTTAAAATAAAATGTAAAAAATAAAAAAAGCATATTTTTTAAAAAAAATTTTAAATATTATAATACTATGTGTGGCACAAGGGTAATTTTCATATGCATGTGCACCAGATTGCGTTTGTATGGGCATGTATGTAGTAGCAGGCTTTTAAAATTATTGGGGGGTTTGGTTTTAATTATTTTATTCAATTTGAATTTTTTAAACTTTATTACATAGGATCAGGGGCAGACTGACAACTCATGGGGCCCCCGGGCAATAGGGGATCATGGGGCCCCTGTGTCCTTGCCCACACTCAAAAAAGCCTATGAAAAAGGTACCATGGGCATCTCATGGGGCCCCCTACTGACCCCGGGCCCTCGGGCAGTGCCCGAGTTTCCAAATGGTCAGTCCGCCCCTGCATAGGATATATATATATATATATATATATATAATTTTTAAAACATAGAAAAAAAGGAGAGTAAATTGAATAGAAGCAATTGACGTTTCCCTTTAGACACAAGGTGACTTGAACCTGTGGTAGGTAAATAAAGCGCACACTGTCCTGACAGATGTAGCAGGTTCCTCTCTTTTCATGGCAGACACTTTCCCGCTCTCTCAGGCAGATGTTAAGCCCGTGACAGGATTTTGGTTACAAGCCTCTGACTCTGTGAGTTCCAAGTAGGTCTGAGTTTCCCACACTTTTGCTGTATTCAGCTCATTCATTGACAGAACAAAAGAAGTGTGCCAGGCTACATGCTGAATTAGCAATGGTATTTAACTTTGTTTTGTGTTCTCTGGGTATCACAGAACACAGGCCGGCCATCTGGAGGCAACTGTGTCTTGACAGCGACATTGATCAAGGCTTGTCAGCTCCTGTTTCTTCTGCTCAGCGAGAGGATTATTTTCTTGTGTACATTTTTAATGAAAATATATGTACAGTAACAGTACAACATAAAAATAATTCACAACATAATAACAATAAAGACGTAATAAATGAACTACCCCGATACCATCAATAGCTCATAAATAACATCAGGGCATTTAACCATTTGTCCCCCAGAAGGATTTACCCCCATCATGACCAGGGCATTTTTTTGTTATTCAGCACTGTGCTACTTTAACTGTCAATTTCACGGTCATGCAACACTATATGCATATTACATTTATATATATAATTTTTTCACACAAATAGAGCTTTCTTTTGTTGGTATTTGATCACCATTGGGTTTTATTTAATTTTTTATTATACAAATAGAAAAATACTGAACATTTTGAAAAAATATATTATTTCTACTTTTTACTTTTAAAACATATCCAATAAAAAATCTCATTTCTTCATAAATGTAGGCCAACATGTATTCTGCCACATGTCTTTTGTAAAACAAATCCCAATAAGTGTATATTCATTGGTTTGTGTGAAAATGATAGCGTCTACAAAATATGGGATATATATATATATATATATATATTTGAAAATTGATCAATCCTGATGTACTAATGGCCTATTTAATTTCTTGAGGCCTGAAAATGCCAGTACAATACAAATACCCCCCAAATGACCCAAATGACTTTTTGGAAAGTAGACAGTCTGAGGTATTTAGTAAGAAGCATGGCACGTTTTCTGAAGTTGTAATTTTTTTGTCACAATTTTATTGAAAATTAAAAAATTAAATAATTTTTTTCCACAATTTTTTTCTACATACTGTCACCAAGCATGTGACTGGTATGGCAGTGATCAGACGTCCTTACTGGGGACCTATGTAAAAAAAATTAAATAAATAATGTGTATTCGACATTTATTCATTAAACTTTTTTTTCTTTTTTTATAATTTTTTTTCTATTTTTTTTTAACAATCTGTCATCAGAGTAGCTCAGGGTCACCATACTGATACTGTACTACTCTGGATGAGTGATCAGGGATTATTTTTACACTGTTATTGCTTATACAGTGATGATCACTGTACAAGCAATAGTTTTAAATGTCATGAATGGGTTTCCCATTCATGAATAACTTGTTTATTGTTGTGATTTGTGATTGGCTACAACAAAACACATGCTACCAGTAGCCAGGGGCCATGTGATTGCTGTGGGCCCATCCCAGATCACAACAGTAAGCAAGCAGTTTATGAATGGAAAGCAATTCATGACAGATCGTTTACATTGTTATCATGTGATTAATATGACCAATCACAGCGATCACATGATACCCAGTTACCGGTAACAGTAATCCGCTGTTTCACGTGGACACAGCGGTCACAGGAGGGCAGCACTGCATGCTTCTATCCTGGAATAGGCTGATTCACATACATACACTATATTGCCAAAAGTATTGGGATAGCTGCCTTTACACGCACATGAACTTTAATGGCATCCCAGTCTTAGTCCGTAGGGTTCAATATGGAGTTGGCCCACACTTTGCAGCTATAACAGCTTCAACTCTTCTGGGAAGGTTGTGCACAAGGTTTAGGAGTGTGTGAGCTCAGGCACTGATGTCGGATGAGAAGGCCTGGCTCACAGTCTTCACTCTAATTCATCTCAAAGGTGTTCTTTCGGGTTGAAGTCAGGACTGTGCAGGCCAGTCAAGTTCCTCCAAACCAAACTTCCTCATCCATGTCTTTGTGAACCTTACTTTGTGTGCTGGTGCACAGTCATGTTGGAACAGGAAGGGGCCATCCCCAAACTGTTCCCATAAGTTGGGTGCATGAAACTGTCCAAAATGTCTTGGTATGCTGATGCCTTAAGAGATCCCTTCACTGGAACCCCTGAAAAACAACCCCACACCATAATCCCCCCTCCACCAAACTTTACACTTGGTGCAATGCAGTCAGACAAGTACCGTTTTCCTGGCAATCGCCAAACCCAGACACAACCATTGGATTGCCAGACAGAGAAGAGTGATTTATCACTCCAGAGAACACATCTCCACTGCTCTAGAGTCCAGTGGCAGCGTGCTTTACACCACAGCATCTGGCGCTTTGCATTGCACTTGGTGATGTAAGGCTTGGATGCAGCTGCTCGGCTATGTAAACCCATTCCATGAAGCTCTCTATGCACTGTTGTTGTGCTAATCTGAAGGTCACATGAAGTTTGCAGGTCTTTAGTTAATGACTCTGCAGACAGCTGGCGACTATTGCGCACTGTGCGCTTCAGCAGGCGTTGACCCCACTCTGTCATTTTACATGGCCCATGGAGTTGCTGTGGTTCCCAGTTGCTTCCACTTTGTTATAATACCACTAACAGCTGACCGTGGAATATTTAATAGCAAGGAAATTTTACGGATGGACCTATTGCACAGGTGGCAACCTATCACGGTACCATGCTTGAATTCACTGAGCTCCTGAGAGCGACCCATTCTTTCACAAATGTTTGTAGAAGCAGTCTGCATGGCTAAGTGCTTGATTTTAGACACCTGTGGCCATGGAGGTGATTGGAACACCTTAATCCAATGATTTGAAGGGGTGTCCCAATACTTTTGGCAATATAATGTATATGTGACTGTGCCTGGAGCTGTTACCATGCCACAGTAAATGTATACCAGATGCATTTTTCTTTACGTTTTAGATAGAGCAGGGAAAGGTTAGAATCTCTGCCATGTATTTATTGCCATCTAGTGCCTGTTGGGGAGATTTTCCCTCATGGCTGGTATTGGCAAATTAAGCCTCATTTACAAGGGTGCTGAGACCTGTAGTTTGTGACTGATGTGGTTTAAGATGCCAGAGGCTGTTTTCAGGTAACCCATTCAATGCTATAGGGATGCAAACGGCTGAACTGGCACAGCCTTTCTTCTCAGTTTGACTGGCATGCAACCACTGCATCCCTATAGACTTAAACTGGTCCCTATAGACTTGCAGGGTCCTTATGGAATCATTCTTTCTTGCTTGCTCCCAGAAAAGAAGACTCCAAGCCAACAATAGGACGTTGCCTACACCAAAATACACAGGCAGCCAGGGGACTAGACAGGGTATGCAGTTGGAGCTCAGAATGATGGAACATGCAGTTTCATATGGAAGAATTTGGGCATTTTCTGTGCATTTGAGAGTGTGCTCTCCCCAATCGGAAATTCTAGGTGGCATTTATTGTTCTTTGCTGGCCTAGTCAGATCTAATTATCATAGAAAATATGAGACTTTTGTACTACTTTAATTTACAAAGTTCTGGTAAATGTAAAAGAGACGGCACAGAGATTGTATGAACAAGTTTTAATGTATATGGTCACCCTTAGTCTTAGGAACACTCTTTTTAAGGCTACTGGGACTAAAGTTGGACATAGATAGACAGAAATGTTGCTATTTCAGCAGGGACCAACCAAATTTTGATATATGTGTGGCTGCCCTTATTCGACTATGTAACAAATCGCACTGTCCCAATACACTGTTCTGGTAGGGGGATACCTCCATCCACCTCATTTGTGTGGATGGAGGAATCTTTAAATTTTTTTTTTTGTTCAGCCCACTGGCTTTAGTGTGTAGGCAGGGCCAGAGGTGTTAAGTTTTTCCTTGGACAGACTGTAACCAATGGAGAAGACCACAGCTCTGGAACTAAGGTGAGTAGGAAGTTATGCAGAGTGTTACTGTAATTTTTCTTAAAGTGATAGTAACCGCATACTGTTTATTTACATCATCCCTTCTCTTTCTGTATATGGATGATGGCACTGTAATTATTTTAATTAGAAAAACATAACTAAGTACCTTTTGCTAATCTATATACAGCTGTCACATGATCCAGCTCTTTCCCAGCCTGTCTGCAGGGAAAGATAGGCAGGAGCTTCTAGTCTTCTGCTGCTGGCCACATGCTCAAACAAAACCCAGCCTTTGGGATACAGAGTAAAAACAAATAATTAATATCAATAAACTGTTTTAAATCATTTTCAAAAGTATATTTTTGAAATTAAATCTTTATTATTTTTTGGCAATAACATGGTATGGGCAGATTTCTGCCAGTCACAGGCTGCAGTCTTAGAATAACAGGGAGGTGAAGTCTCCATCAGCCAAGATGTAATATCCCACCCTATTGTTTTTAGCTGTTTAGTGAGCATGGAGGGAGTGGTCTGCATTTACCAGAGTGTATACACCCACATGTGCGACTCTATAGTCACATCGGCTGCTCAGATGGGAGGGGGGTAATGCTCAGCTTAGAAACTCACTGAAAACTGAGCATATGCACTAGCTGCCAACACTGCTCTACAAAATTCCCAAATGCAATGGGGACATAGACAGAAAGTGGAGCTAAAGGACAGCAAGATCAACCAGATTTTTTGCAGAATACAGAAAACGAATCCCCTTCAGCCTGGATTTCGCCCACAACACTCCACAGAAACTGCTCTCCTAAAACTCACAAACGACTTACTAAATGCTAAAACCAATGGTCACTATTCCATATTCTTACTATTGGACCTCTCCGCTGCCTTTGACATAGTTGACCACCCCCCTC